AGTTTGCGCGCCTTATGAGTTGTATCCAATTTGGTCTTTTGCACGCGGTCGCATCCTTGTCTGTTGTCATACCGTGTCGCATGGCCCTCCTTGCTCAGTGGTCCGCTTGTGAACCATTTGGGTTGAGCATGCTGAGAGTGCCTCCTTCGGCGGTTCTTCGTTTGCATCTTCAGTCGTCTAGTGAAGCAAATTAAGGTTTGCCAATCTCTGGCCTTGAGGTCCAATGTTCAATGTTATTTTGTAGCCCAGGCCTTCATGTTGCCCTCAATCCGTTTGTTTGCCTCCGGTGGGTCGCTTTCGAGGTCTTGCACCTATTGGCACGTCTATTCATGTTCAACCGCACTGGAGACTTGCGCTTGATTCCAGGCACCTTCGGTAGATTCCTTGGTCTTAAGGGGCACGCTCGTAGAGATGACGCCGATGATGCCGGGCAGCTTCTTGATGAAAAGCGGGGGGTAAATTTACCCCCCGGTTTTGGGGCCGAACCAAGAGGGGAGTTGCCATTCCAAGAGAAGCCGGATTCCCAGATTCCGTTTGCCATTGTCCATCAAGAAGTCATCAAAACCTATGTAGGTTCAGCTGGGGACCACATCATCTTGGACCTTGTACATGAACACTCTCCACCTGAAACCTTCTTCGATGCCTCGGGTCCCATCACGTCCAAGCAGCAGTTGCAGAGTCCGACTGTCATCCGTAATTACACAAGAAGTAGATATCCCAACGATTCTTCCGGCGGTGGCTGCACTACCACTGCTGAGTAAGTGCCTCCATGATTGCCGACGTGTTTTTTTTGTTAGGAAGGTGCTGCCAAGTTGCGCCAGGGTGGTACTTCCCGCGCCCAGGCTCAGAGGCCCCACGTCCTTGCAGGCGGCCAGTCTAAGGCCAATAAGGCCGGCTCGTCCCGTTCAAATGCTGGTGGATTTTGATCCTTTGCGGGTGTAGGCTTGGCGAGGCCAAAGTCCCTGGTCCGTGGTCGCTTGGGGCTATCAACCCAGGTGGCATGCTCAACAAGACTGCTGATTTCGCTGAACTTCCTCGGTGCATTTATGCTTTGTCTGAAACAGCCCTTACCCGTCCCGGAGAGTTGAAGATTCGCAGAGAACTCCGCTAGCATGATCACTCGTTGAAGCTAGTGTGTGGTCATCCGGCCCTGTTCAAGTCACCATCTAGGCACAGCGTCGGAGGCAAACAAATTGGAGTTGCATCTGTCTCGTCATTTCCATGCAGGCCGATCCAGGCCGGCTGGACGCCCGGGCTCTTTGAACCCTCTCGCGTCGCGGCGGCCAAATTTTGCGCGCATGGAACTTGGGTTACCGGTGACACCTTGCGGCCACCCATCAAGTCCAGCCAACAACTGAACTCTTGCTGCAAGAACTTACGGCCCAAGTCGCCTCTCTGGTCCGAGATTCATTGCAGGTGATTGGAACCAGGAGCTTAACAGTCTGGCTGAGCCTCAAGTTTGGCTAGCGCCTTGGTTTCCGTGAGATCCAGTCAATTGCCCAGGACAGGTGGGGTCTCCGACCTGCAAATACATTGTAAAGGGAAGAGCTTCATGTTCGTGTCCAGAGAACTTGTGTGACCCTCCTTGAGGCCGTTCATGTTGATCCCTATCGTTCCCCAGATCACGCGGCGTTGCTAGGTTCCTTCTCTGCCCTGGGTAAAAGTGAGGAGGTCTTTCGGTGGCCCAAGCCAGTTCCTTTTTCCTTGGATGCACAGTTGCAAGAAGCGTTGCAGCGTTCATCGACGCCTTTGCCTGAGCTTTCCGCAGATCCCACACAGGCTTACGCCCAAATTTGCACTCATCGACAAGCGTGTAAGAATAAGGTACTTGAGGCCAAGGGGGGGGCGAAAGCTAGCGCTCCAGAATGGGAAAGTGGAGGGCAGCGAGGTAGGAAAAAACACCGCTCTTTTTGGAGGCAGGGGTGAAGAGTCCTTTACATGTGGCTCTTTGCCCGGATCCTCCTGCGAGAGAAGAGAGAGAAGAGAGACGGAAAGACGAGAGACAGAGAGGAGAGAGAGAGAGAGAGAGAGGAGAGAGAGAGATGAGAGAGATGAGAAAGAGATGAGAGAGATGAGAGAGATGAGAGAGATGAGAGAGAGAGAGACAGTGAGACAGTGAGACAGTGAGAGTGAGAGTGAGCGAGTGCGGCCGCAAGATACGCAACGCTAACCGCATGCCAAAGAGCGACGACAGGACGGAGTCGAACTTGCGAAGAGGGAGGAGGGAGGGAGGGAAGGTGGGAGGAAGGAGGAGAGGGGAGGTGGGGTGGGGAGAGGGGAGAGGGGAGAGGGGAGGAGGGGAGGGGAGGTGGGGGGGGGTCTTCGACCTGAAAAATCAGGGGTTAGGATTTGCACCTGGTCGAAAGAAACCTTGCTATCGCAAGAGTAACTCCAGCTAGCTTCGCTAGCTTTCGTGACTTCCGGCCCCTTTAACCAGTTGGGTCGGGGCCAGTCCACTGCTATTCGTTTGGTCTTTCCGGATAGATGTCCTGTCAAGCCAGGTCGCCTTGGGGACAAAGCTGCAGTGGTCCGAGTCCATTCACTATCGTAGGTGCATTACCCAACGCCGGCGTTTGCAGCATTTCGCTAGGTTGCCTGCGCAGTCCGCAAGTCACTCTTCGGTCGCGCGGAGGGTCAACGTATGGGCAGCCATCTTGAGGGCCCCATTCCCAGGTGGATTCCGGATCTGGTGGCAGCAGCACGTCATGTCTGACCACTGTTCCAGTCCCATTGCCGACTCAGTGCCTAGTCAAGCGGAGGCCCATTGTCTGTTGGCTGGCTTTTGAGATTATCTTGAGGCTTTTGAAAAGCAAGTGTTGGCTACTCGTCGTAAACGTGCGGTTGACCGTCGGCAACAGAACGCCAACCTCATTTTTCGTGACATTAAAGCCCCAGGACCAGAGCCGGTTGAAACGCTTACTCTTCGAGCCGATGCCACTGTCCTGTCACATGAAGATCTTCAGTCTGTCATGCTTCATGAGCCCCAGGCGTTTGATCCAACTAGGCCTGTCCATACCGATGTAGGCCCCCTCGTACTTGCACACGCTGAACCCGACCAGTTGTGGCTTGACACGGAAGGTCTCCTGCCTTCCATTGGATCTCAGGTGACTCAGATCACTGATTTAGCACCCTGCATGAGGTTCACATTGCCTTTGTGACCGCTTGGCAGTCTAGGTGGGGTACCCATGATCACTTGCCTCCTCATCATTGGGATAGCGCGAACGCACAAATTGAGCGCCTTCTCCCGTCTTTGCAGCACGAACGGGAGGTGATTACAGTGGACCAGCTCCGAGCATTCGTTCGCTCTCGCAAGCCGACATGTGCTGTTGCAAGGCTTGATGGCATTAGTCGCGCCGACCCTTTGGCAATGCCCTCTGCGGACCTGCACGGATACTGTGTTGACGTTGATAGAATACATTGTTTTTTTGAGGTACCTGTTTTCTTGACTTATTTTAGTTCATTTTTTACGCTATCTACATCTTTGATGTTTTCTGTTGGCCAGGTTTCTGTTGGAGTTCCAGTTTTCATCGCGGCATTGCGGCATGTTGTCATAAGTCGTCTTTAAGCTTTTGCAAACAAATGAGTATTTGTTCTCGAATGTCATTGATACAATGTACATATGTGGTTATAAAGGGTGTCCTGGCTGCCAGGATGGTAGCCTGCTAGTTAAGTCCTGGCTGCCAGGACAAAGTGATTTTAAAGCCCTGGCATGGCGGTGGCTGGGAGTGATCTGGCTGCCAGGATACCTTTGTTTGTTTCTTGATACCATGTTTTTGGATTATTCCTGGAAACCAGGACTTAGACACATGGTAGAAAGCTGAAGAGACAGAGGTAAACAGAGGTATGCAGAGGACCCCTGTATACCTCTGTGTACCCCTGCCTAGGGCAGAGGTATACAGAGGTATGGGCAGAGGTATACAGAGGTGTGTACCTCTGTTTACCTCCGCCCATACTTCTGTAAGCCTCTGTTTACCTCTGCCTAGGCAGGGGTACACAGAGGTATACAGAGGTATGGGCAGAGGTACACAGAGGTATGCAGAGGTACACAGAGGTATGCAGAGGTAAGCAGATGTATGCAGAGGTATGCGCGCAGTTGCATAGAAAAGTACCCAAATGCATACGGACACATACAGATGCTGGCCGATGGTTAAGCTATGTGGACTATGTGGTCTTATTTTTGGTGGTTGGTTGGTTCATTTTGAGGTCAGGGACAACTTATCCAAACCTAGGTCATTAATCTCAGGGACATTGACTAAAGTATGAACATGGTCCCAACATGTCCAATGAACTGGGTCACAACTGCCACGACGGGCCCAAAAAAAACAAGAAACCGGCTGTCCCAAAACCCCGGGACATTGATGGACTAAAGGAATGAAAGAAAGGCAGGTTTGAAGGAACATAAAGGAACATTGACAGGGTTATATAACAACATGGTTGCGTCCATGACCCCAACAACAAGACAATGACCCTTGCACTAATGCAGCCATGGGAGCATTTGCAGCATAGTTCGAAACAGAAAGAATCACAGCCAAAACCCAACAAACATCACAAGCAGTCAATGACACAAGGCATGACAACCAGTCAGCGAAAGCTTTGCGATCAACTTTTCTCACTCGCATCATCTCTCGTCTCGGTTTGGCTGGAGTCAGCCGCGGCAGTCACACCTTGAACGGCAGAGGGGTAACATGTGGTCAGGGGTAACATGTGGTCGTTGACGACAGCATCAAGTCAGTTGCTGTCACTGTGAGGTGTACAGAGGGGTGCAACGCATTGCAACGCAATTCAGCCCTTTTTTCACTTCCAGCTGGAGTCTCTTAAAAGAGCCCATGGAAAAACATTCTCAGAAGACTCACCAACGTAGACAGACCACCAAAATGGAGCTGTCAGTTGTGCCACCGGTGATCTTTCAAGACTCAAGACTCAACAACGTAGACCACCAAAATGGAGCTGTCAGCTGTGCCGCGGAGCTTGTTGGTGATCTCGGAAAACATTCAAAAAGTTCACCTCAGTCTGCCGCCTTTCTGCCACACCGGCTTTCGAACGGCTCGGTATGTTTTCTTCTTTGGCGTTGCACCCACGATGAGCTTGGATCCGCATGCAATCCAGTCCTTGTACTTCTTCAGCCGAGCAGGGATCAAGGCATCCCACTCCAAGTCGCTGTCGCAGCTGTCGGAGTCGCTGGAATCCACCAACACCTCTTCAACACATTCTGTTTGGAGGTCCTGGCGCTTCTTCTCATTGTTCATCTTGTCACTCTTGTCCATGGTCGCATGAACACCTTGACCCTCACCAACATGTTCCTCCCTGCCCTTGCCCTCATTGCCCATGCCCACGCCATATTGCCTTGGAAGGACACAAGCTCATTCTCAGGACACATTGGACACAAACTGACAAGTAATTAAACCCTGCATTTGAAAACAAACCTCACCGACAAACAATCTAAAAAAGTTGTTGAAGAAAACCAAGTCACTGCTGATGCTGATGCTCACCCCACAACTGTTGCTGGCCCCAGTTGAAGAGAATGATGGGAGCAGGATAAGCAGGAAAAGTGGCCACGACGAAGCTCTGTGAGGTCTGGGGCTTAGACAGTGACACGCCCGACGTTTTGACTTAGGCAGGACTGGGCAAGAGCCAAACGGCTTGCAACACCAAAGGCTAAAGTCACCGACCTCTCACTGACTGCACCTGTCACTGACTGCACCTGTCACTGACTGCTAAAGTCACTGGGGGTCACATGTGAGTGGCATCAACTGGGATGGGATCGGATGGAAGCAAGTAACCACAACAAGTAACAAAACGCTGTCATGGCGGTCGGCTTGTCAAACGCACCCCAGGTGAAACTACTTCGGGCCAGACATTGGAGAAGTGCAGTCCCCAGCTCGCCCAAAATCAAACCTCAGTCAGGGTCTGTCAATCACACTTGTTTGCAAATCAGACTGTCCTGCCAGCTTGAAGCACTTGCTGACATCCTCTACATAAATAAAGCATGGGACCACCATCGGTCTGCATAGCACAAAAGCTGCATGGGACCTGCAAATCGGTGTGTCGAACAAGCATGAGCACACTTGACAAAGATGCAAAGCAAATCACTAAACCTTGCCATTGGACATCAGTGAGACAAAGGGCCCGGCCTTCAAAAAGTTGTCAGCTTACATGGAATCCTCTTCCTCCTCGTCGTCCCCGTCGTCGTCATTTGGCTCCGACTTGTCATCGTCATCGCTTGCCTCCTCCTCGTCCTGACATCCAAACAAGCGCCAACAGTTCGATGTCATTGTAGTTGTCATGCTATGGTTAAACATATAAGAGCCAATGTAGCACGTTGTCCTCTTCTTCGCCCAAGTTTGCTTCTGATGCCTTCTTCTGCCCTTTCCCCTGCTCTTGCGCTTTGGTTTCGCGCTACCCCCTCTCTTTCCTTTCTTCTTGGGCAATGGCTCAGTCGGTTCAGCCTTGTCATTCTTCAGGGCTTTGGCAAGATCAGGCAAGTAATGCCTCGACTTTGGTGAGTTCAGCAGCTTGAACATGATCTGATTGGCACACTGAGCATACCAGTCCTCATGTTTCTTGGAGTAGCCTCAGATGAGCAGGGGTGGTGATGACTATACATGCTTTGGGTCACGGTGTTGAGATGGCAATGGTAGTTAAGTAAGTAGATTTGACACTGACACTGTCATTGACACTAACAGCAAAAGGTCATTTGCACGAACCCAACATTGACACCAGTCACCAGTGGCACTGTCAATGACAACACTGAGTATCCAAGATGCAAATTGCCATGCAGGGAGTCTGTGCCTCCAACAGCGGCGTCAAGATGGAGGGGCAGGAGGCCGTTGCAAGGACCACCGCCTTTGGACGGAAGCGGTGAAGTACCTCCTCAAACGTGCGCGTGCTCCAAATGCCCCAATCCATCGGTTCCATGCCTGGCTGGTCCAAGCCTTCAGACATGGCAACAGAGAAAAAAACAAATGTATGTGTTGCTTCACCACCTTCCATGTCCAACCTTTGTCCATCCATGGGTCATGACAAAGTGCAGACAAGGGACCCTTGGCATGGTGGCTTGCACGGCTGTCATCTTTCACCCGAGCAGCTCCCATCATCTCACGCTTGTCCGATGTAGGGGGCTGTGGCACATCCTTCAAGGTGGACTTCTGACACTCCATGAGCGATGTTCCTGAAGTGGTGCCCGAATGGTGCAGGTTCTTTCTTGAACCTACTATGGACGCCATTCTCATGGAATCTCCAGGCACGACAATGATCGATTCCATCTGGGGCAATGTGAACACCTTGGGGAAAGAACTTGTGGATGAATAAGACTGTCAAACAAGTTTCAACATCACTGATCATATCTTATCAACTTAAGGCAAAGTGGTGACAAGACATCATCCAAGCCGTAAGGCCCAAATGCCAAACAGCCTGCCAAGACACACCACGCTCCAAAGATGACCCTGACAACGAGCGAGCCTGGTTTCAATATCTTGACAAACGGCTTCAGCAGTGGGCCTGGTCAGTGGCAAAGACATTTGCAAGTGTCAGTGACAAAGTGGCAAGCAGCATCATGAAAGTCACCCCGCCTTCCTGTGCTCCTTCACGCTTTCTTCCGCATAGTTCACATGAAACATAGATTTGGCATAGGGTCCATTCTCCACTGACTTGAACATCTGCGTGAACGCTGCCTGAGTGCCAGGGCGACCGCTGTCACAAAACAGGTACCTCAGCTTCCAGGTGACGGTCTAGGCACAGTTTAGGCACTAGGCAGTCTAGGCACAGTTGACAATGACAGTCAGCATCCATGCCACAATGGTCATTGACAATCACCGTCTGTGTTACAGGTGTTTATTGTAAATTTTGTCAGGGAATCCAAGTCACACATCCGAAGGATCCAATGCGGGATACACAGTCTTGTCACCATCGAAATCCGGTAAGGATTCACCACGCGAGGCCAGCGCTGCCTGGATGACTTTCTCCATGTGCTCCTTGCGAGCCGGTGTGGGACTTCGGCGAGCATCCCGTTCACGCTCCCCAGCTGCATCAACAACGTAGACCACCAAAATCGAGCTGTCAGCTGTGCCGCGGAGCTTGTTGGTGATCTCGGTGGCCTTCAGCAGCTTCGCAAGCTTCTGCAAACTCATGGAGCCATCCACTGTCTGTATCTGGCTTCTGACTTGTTTCCTTGCTACCTCAGCGGCACTCTCGACAGTCTCAAGGTGTGAAGCACGCTCTGGTTGTTGCAGTTGTGACAAGCTTTCTGCAGGGATCAGGCTGGCCAACACTGCTGACTTTGACAGCTCAGCTTCAACGTGCTCAGTCGCAACAGGTGCATCACCAGGGGTAATGATCATTCTCCACATCTTGTCAATGTTGGCATGTTCCAAAACTTCTTCCAGGGTTTGTTGATGCCTGACAGCTTGCTTGATGACATAGTCATACTGCAGGCCATACACAAACTCTGCGGCAAATTCGGCTGCTTTCTGCGAACGGGGATTCATACCTGAAAGCCATGGGGTTGACAATTCTGACCGGTGACCATCGTGAATTACTCACTGACATTGACTGCTAAGCGCAGTCAAGTAACAAGCAACCCATGTCTGGCCATCAGGGACCTTGACGTTCTTCTGGATGGCCTCTGCTGTGAAGGGCCTGCCACCAAACGCTTGTCGATAGGCTGCATGAGATTCCAAGTTCTTCCTGGCCAAGGCGTGCCACTAACATGACTTGGGTAGCTAGGAGAAATTTGGCAAATTAGTAAGCCTCATTAAATTATCAGTCCTGATTTGCACAGCGTCTTCTGGTGGCAAATGCTGATCCAACAATGCCATCAACTTGGGCTTGTTCTGCAGCTTCCAAAGCCATATAGCAACTATTTTGAGGTTTTCTTGGCAAGTCATTTAGGTCAGTGCAACTATCACATATTTAAACTCAGTCTATGCTCGCCCAGGGTCCCCTTCTGTGAGCCTTTGCCAGACATCATGCTGGGTTGCAGTTCAGCTGGCTGAAGGAGACGGTTGAGACATAGATCAGCCATCGTTGTCATACAGAACTCCATCGACTCAGCGTTGGACCGGCAAGCTCGCATCAAGCTTTCAATCTTCAAGACCGAGTCCAGGGGCGATCGCTTGCCAAACGTTTCATCTGTGAGAAACGCCAGGTCCTCAAAAAACATAGCCATACATCCTGAACATTTGAAGGTAATAACATGAACTTACACACGTCAATGAACATTCAATTGAGACTGGCTGCAAGCAGTGGCAATGACAAAGTCGCGGTTCAAGATGACGGCTAATGAGAAAACTAAGGTCAATGACAGGAAGCTACATAAAGCCAAGTTGCTTTCAGCTTTGGGACACTGAACAAAGCGTTGTACAAAGCCAGGGCTACTTGGAGAAAGTGTTCTGTTGCTGCTTCTCCGCTGGTGATCTGGAGGTTCTTGTCATAGTGCTGCTTCAAGACTTTGGGGGTGATCGGAACTGAGAGCTTTTCCTGGAGGATCTTTTTGATGGCGCCCACCTGAAACACTCTTTGCACCTTAGCCAAATCCATATGGGTGTTCACTGACTGGCTTGTCATTAAGCCAAGACTTTAAGCCAAGCCACCGGAGTGTAGTAGAAATTCTCAAAATACTCTCCCACCTTCTCCCGGATTTTTGCATGCTCCCAAAAAGTGGATTCAAGGTCATCTCCACAAGTCTTCCAGGTAATCTTAGCACTGAGCCAAGCCGATCGCCACTCCTTTTCGATGAAGTGTGTGGAAACCAGTCACTGACCAAAAACAGAGTCATTGACCTACCAAAACTCAGAAAGCGTTGTTCTCCCATCGTTCAAGCAATACAGTCAGGGTCGTTGAAAAATCCTCCCTCAAGGATTTAGGCATTGACAGTCCTCAATGCTTTCGCCCTCGCTGACATCTCTCCAAGTTGCTATGATGTAAGCCAAGTGGTCCTCCTCTGGGCTGAGCCGTTTCAAGAGGCTGGCGTGACGGTGGCGATCTTCTCTGACATCAGACTGAGGGCTCACCACCACTGTTATGTCCAAGGGCGTCGGATCCTTGAACTTTGACATGGTCAGGAGGGCGATGGAGCTGCTGATGATTGGAACTGTGCATGGCGTCCAGAATGGGTTCACCCATGATAGGTTTCCACCAGCACTGTACGTAGTGCCCAAGGTTCCGCCAGGGTTGATGTGCTTGAACTCCGTGGGATGCATCACACCTCCAGCTTGCACCTTCAAAGGTTCTTCTGTCTGGATGCCATTGAACTGATCATGCCTTCAGCCGAGAATGTCTTTGCACCTAATTACAAAGTTAAACTGATGATGCCACGTGAACAGACGCACCTTCCTTGTAGCCAAGTCACGCCATCAAGCCATCCCATGCCGCCTTAGCCTCTGACAGCACATCCACATTCATGGATTTGGTCTGCGCGTCAGGTGGGTCACCTTCAGCATGGTTCAGTGTTGGCAGGAGCAAGTCAAAAATGTGTTTGGCTGTGGTCGTGGCAGTCTAGTTGCCTGAAGTCAAGGGTAGGGCAGCAGCAGCTTTTGATCGAGGACGCTTTGGTGGGGCCATGTTGGGTCACCCAAGGACGACCCTGACCAAACGTCAATGACAAGGAGAAGCATAGAGTAGCATGGATAAGTCTAGACATGGGTTGTTGAAGTGTGACTTGCCATCCTGAGTGGCAGTATGTCTGAACGACTATTTTTCATCATGGACTCTGACACTGACACCTGGAGATGCGAAAACGAAAGCTTCCATGACAGTGACAGCGACAATGACATGACAGGCTAGCTAAATATGCTGAATGACAAGGACTGAATTGAATTCTTCTGTCGTTGACAAAACACCGTTGACAAATATTTGAATACGAACTCATAAGACCTTGACTCATGTTTCCCCTACCCCAGTGTCGCTCACAGGGCCCTTTCGCCATCACATGCCATCTAAGCTAGGCTAATTACAAGTAATGTACTGGGGCTGCTTCCAAATCAGCTCAAAGCAGCTCTGCAGCGGTAAGCACTGCCCTCACAGCTTCCTGTAAGACAGGAACTGACATTGGATTGCCAACCTGACGGCCTTTGGCCGTTTTGGGAGTTCGGGCTGCCTTCCAGGGAATGTCGCCGTTCTCAAAGCCCTGCAATCTTGCCATCTCAGAGGGAGTCAAACGTCGGTGGTCCTGAGGGTTCAACACTCACTGGTCGTCAGGCAAAAACATATAATTCTACTGAGTGAGTTTCAAAAAGCCAAACAAGTCAGCCAACAATGAAGCAGCTATTAAAAAGTTAGTATCACATCAAGCCGTCCTTGGTCAGCCAATAGGCCCTTTGCGAGCAACGGCTGGCGGTCAAAGTCCCCGCAAAACCAGTGGTCACCACACGGAAGTTCTCACCAGCGCCAATGTCAATGACAGACTCAGTTTGCTTCGGGTCCACGCCGGCCCGTTTCAGGATTTGAAAGCCAGCTTTCAAGTTGCTCCTCGCTGTATCACTTCCTTAAAAAGTGGCATGTGTTGATGAGCTTGTCATCTTGCCAAAGTCTTTCAAACTTATAACGCTGACACTGTTGCCATTGTCACTGCCATGGTCATTGACAAGTCAAATGTTTCCTCATGGCAAACGTTGTGGGGCACTGCTATTGCAAACAAGTTGCCTGGGAATCTTTCCCGCTTGCCCCTCTTGCTCAAGAAGGAACCTAGTCCAAGCATCTTCGCCGTTGAGCTCCTCATGACTGGTGCCTTGCCTGCCTTTGGGGATCCCAGGATGTAAAGCCTTCTCCGTCTTTGAGGCAGTCCAAACTTGCGACTATCAACCACCTGCATGTGCAATGGCAACCATTTAAACTGATTACATACAATTCAGGGGCTGAACAAAAACCCAACCTTCCAGACAACATGGTATTGACGTCTGCCGCCGTCATGACCTTCTGCAAACGATTGACCAGGGACTTGAAAGGTGCTCCTTAGTCATTCCAAGTGTTACTGTACCAACTGACATGGTCAAGTTTTTGTCAAAAGCAGGAGGACACCAATCGCAAAATTAAGTTAAGTGTCGGTGCGTCTTGCTCTTGAGGCGTGGGACATTTTCAAGTACAAACGTCGTGGGGCGCTTCTGAGTTATATATGCAAGCACGCTTTTCAACACACCAGCTCGGTGGTCATGTTGGCCTCCATGTTTGCCAGCCTGACCTCTGCAGCAATTCAAGACCCATGAGAAACGTGCGCTGCTGTTATTTAAGAAGACAAGAAACTGTAGGGTTGGCATGGAAACCCTGCTGTGTAGAGGTTCACATGTGGCTTTTGCTTGTTGTAGGACGCGTCGTCCAGCACAAGTTCAGGTGGATGAAGTTGGCCTCAAGTCGCAGCAGCATGACCAACCAAGCAACGCAGTAGTACATGAAAGGGAATCACCCCAACAGCGTGCACAAATCATTGATCAGTTTTTAAAAATATATAACATGAATGAAATTGAAATCAAAACAGGACTTACTGGTTGCAGCCCAAGTCTCATTCCATCACTCTGCGGCAATGCCGGTCCGCGTCAGACGCAAACAAGTTCCGGAAGGGCACTCCTAGTCGGGCCACCGCCACTGCATCAGTGCCGATGCCACTGCAGTCAGATCCAATCGTGATGCCTGCCGATGATCGCTTTGGCATCACCTGAGAAGCAAGTGCATGGGAGAGTCAATGACTACTAGAATTCCAACATAGGTTGAGAGGACACAAAAGGGTCCACACTAGCCTCTAGTGTGGACCCTTTTGTGTCCTCTTTGCCTCTCTAGGTTTACTGACACGTCATTGCGACTTCACTGCATGTCCATTGAATGTCTGTGTGCAGCAGACCTTTTTACACAATCCCGCAAGCAGGACAGTGACACCATAGCTCGCTGTCAAAGACATCTGACAATGACTCAATCTTTGGCCTCGCCACCATCCTCACGCTCAGAAGCCGACTTGGATTCACGGGGGCTGTCCTGGAGATCACTCGCGTCTCCTTTCTCACTCTTTGAGTCACTCTTTGGCTTTGGTTTGGATTTGGCCTTGGGCTTTTGCGCACTCTCACTGGATTTCTTCCTCAACCTTGCCAGGGCTTTGGCCTTCACTTTAGGGCTGCACCCTGCCCAATCACAAGTTTTGCGCCCTTTCCACCGGCACTTGCTGCATCCTTGGGCCTTTGCACTCTTTGGATCGCCCTTCACGTCTTCATTCTCCGTGTCTTCGTCCTCCTCGGATGGCCACACCTCCGGCACTGGCCACGGCTTTCCAGCCGGTCGCTTTGTCTTGTGACCTGTGACATGTTCATTTTCATTATTGTCATTGTCATTGGAACTGGGCCTTTTCAGGACAGGGGTGCTCTTGGAACTGGGCCTCTTCTTGACAGTTTCCTTGGAGCTGGGCCTCTTCTTGACAACAGGTTCTGAAATGCTCTGACTCTTGCTGCCATCTTCTGAAGCTTGGATCTTTCATGTTGCACAAGCTGCCACCTCTGTGACACTTCACATGACCAGCCACTGCAGCTGGTGCACTGGGCATGTTTGGGGGATCCCAGGAGCCAGACAAACTGCCGACGCCACTTCTTCCATCGCTGTTTGGAGTCTAGAAGCATGTTAAGATCTGATGATGCCATAAAAGTATTGTGAATGGTTGCAAGTGGAAGCAATTCTGAGACTTGTTGACTTGTTCTTGCTTGACACTGACAGCTTTGAATCTGAGGGGTTGGACTTTGAGGAAACTTGGCAGCTCAAAACAAAACAGTTCAATTGGCTGATAATCAGCACAAACTGTTTAACGCCCAAAGCAAGCCAGGCCCACCAAGCTCCACCAGGTAGGCCCGCAGACAGTCCAACACAATGACTCAATCTCTTGAACCGGGCGATGCACAACAATGACACTGACTCAAGTCAATGACATGTCAAATCCCTGCTGGAAATGCAATTGTCAAAACACAAACCTTTTGAAGCCTGGCTTTGACGGACACTGACCATTCTATTTTTCTTCAGCTCTCTCAGTACCAGCATTGGGGCTAACACTCCCCCAAGTGAAAACATTTGAAGACATGTAGCCCACCTGACAAACCAGTGTCTTTGCACCTGAGAAGTGGTCATTGACATCAGCCTCATGACCTGGCAAGCAGTGGCCAAAGATAGCTAACGTGAGCAGGGCAATGCCAAACAATGCCAACTAGCGTTTGCTACGACATGTTTGTCCAATTCCTTTGACATCAACTCATCACTGACACAAGCAACTCATCACTGACACAAGCAACCGAAAATCTGGAGCGACTTGTGAACAGCTTGTGAAGAGCCTTGGCCATGGCTTGCGCGGAATGCCCTCCCAGCCTCCTGGAGCACTTGCAGGCTTGCACCTGGGTCAATGATGATTCATCATTTGATCAGGTTGAAAATTTGTCAGTGACAGTGGGGCGCTTGTGGGTGCTGGGTCAAGCAGTGCTGTGAAACATGTGAAAGCCAAATCAAACAGGCAGGCAGGCGGACTTTTCATCACTTTGCCACTGGGTTGGCACGTTTGGCCCACTGATCAGCGTTGGTCTGCCGAGGCTTTCGTAGGCAAGCCCATTTCGTGATTCAGCCTTTGTTGAAATGAAACCAGGCACAGTCAGAAAAGAACCATGCAACATGTCAATGCAATGTATCAAGTATCAATAAAGAAAACCCTTGACTGCTGATTGAAAACTCTCTAGGCCCAGGCACTTTTCCACCAAATTGCGATACGCTATGATCGTCCAGCCACTGTGGTTCTGGATGTCTGGCCACCACGAGGCTGATCCAAAGGAGACAACGCCAATTTAGCAGAATGGAAATGACAGCGTTGACAAGTAAAATGCAGCAGTATCAGAAAACAGTGCCAGGCAGACGGTCAGACTTGGAGCTGCTGAGGAACTGCGTGATGTCATCGTACTTTTCACCAAACACCAGCCGAATCAATCCCAATGCCTGTTGCGCCGGCCCGCAGCTGCGAGGGTGTCAACGTGGCTTGCCATGATCATGAGTTTGAGATGGTTTGAATCTGACTTTGACATTGACAGTGACAATAAAGGCCTTGTCAAACCACGTTGCTGGACCACACTTCTCCCCTTATCATCCAAAACAGATAGAACTGGATCCGACATTTTGAGCCAAGACTGGCAGACAGTGACAGCACAATCATTCTAAGCAATGACATTGACGGATCTTGCTTCAAAATGACATTGACACTGACTCAATTGCTTGAACAATCAATGCTAGCACTATAAGCAGTGACATTGACAGATCAAACCTCAAAATCCATGGATGGATCAACCGGCTTACTTTTTAAGCACAGGCGAGTGACATCGATGCAAGGTGGCCTCAAGGCTGTGGACATCAAAGCTGTGATCTGACCCTAAAGACCTTGCTGGACAACGTTGAATGAATGG